GCAAGGCAACATCTAAAATATCAAACACGCCGCCTAAACAAATAAATTGTACAAGTCTGGCTCCCATTACTACGCCATCTTGTACCGTAATGTTGCGTAAAATGCGACACATGGTGAACATAAGCGAAATCTAATCGGTCAGTATTTCTCCATCACTATTTAAGTCTGCTGAAACTGAAACAAGTCTTTGTGAGCATTATAAAAACATCGCCTGTAGCGAATTAATACAGTCGGTGGAGGAAAGGCTGAGGCTTTTTATTTCCGATAGTTGCTCAAACTTGATGTCTTCAGTTAAAAAAGAGCACGAACTACTTAGGAAAGAAATAAAGCAACTTAAAGACGAGAGTGCCTCATTCAAATCAACAATTAGATTCTTTAAAAACCGCTTTCATTGACACAAACAGACATTATCGGTGAAACAGACATTATCAATGAAAATGCTTTTGTGTCAGTAAGTGAGTAAGACAACAACACTTCAGAGTCTGTAACTGTTGAGCGAACACCCTCCATTTATCCTATTGGGGTGCAGGTAACCAACACGTTTCAGGTACTAAATGAAAGCGCAGACACAAAGAATGAACAAATTGCACCTTTATCATCTACATTGTTCTATGGTGCCACAGCAACAGCCTCCTATGGCACACGTGGATCAAGATCAAGATGGCAGTCACAGATGGCAACAGCAGAGCCCTAGCATGGCCAGCATGTCATAAACATTTACCCTAGTACAACACATTTAATTATAGGTAATTCATTGCTGAAAGGGAAAATACAGTGATCGTATGTGACCGTCTGAAAATGGGACGGTATCACTTCATCCTTTGCCAGGTGCAGATGAGGATAGATTGACTGCCACATTGCGTAGGTTTAGTATCAACTCTAATATTTAAAGAACCACTGTGCACATTGGGATTAACAACATCATGAATGACAAAATTATAAGTTCACTGAAAGTCGTCTAAACAACAAACTTAATGATAATGAAGCATGCATGCATGTGTAGGTGTGTATGTATGGAATGAATGTGTGTGTGTGCATGTATGTGTGTGTGTGTTTTCTGTTTTGTGCATTTATGTCTATGTATGGGTGTGTGTTTTCTGTTTTTGTATGTGTGTATGTATTAGGTATGTCTGTACATGAATGTGCATGTATGAGAATGCAAGATTATATAAACGTGTGTGTGAGTGTGTAAGATTGTGTACACATGATGTGTGTATACATTATTATGTAATGAATATTTCTTTACTATATCCATAACATGCATTATTTATAACAGGCATTGGTACTCTGAAAAATGAGTGCTTAGAAGGGCCGAATGTCAGACGGGCTTGCGTGCCCAATTTGTAACCCTTCAAAAATAAAGTTTGTACGTTTGTTCGTTCGTTCGTTCGTTCTTCTTTTTCTTTTTCTTCTTCTTCTTTTTCTTCTTCTTCTTCTTCTTCTTCTTCTTCTTCTTCTTCTTCTTCTTCTTCTTCTTCTTCTTCTTCTTCTTCTTCTTCTTCTTCTTCTTCTTCTTTTTTTTTTTCTACTTTTCCTCATCATCTCCACCATCTTATTTTCTCCTCCTCCTCATCATCTTGTACTTCTTATCATCCTCCTTCTTCTCCGCCTGCTTCTCCTCCTAATCCTTCGCCCTGCCCTCTTTATGTAGTAAACCTTTTTGTTTCGCATAGAAGGGCATACCGTGCCATTTATGCTGATTCTTCATATGGCAAATTATATAATATATAAAGATTATCAAACATATTTTGCACCAGATTTTACATACCTTAAATTGGCTTTTAGGTGTTTTTTCGTAACGTCCCAAGGGAAGATCGGCCAGGAAAAGCCATGCAAATCCGTGCAACTGTCCCTTATTGTACAGCAGGCCGATGGGGAATAGTTCATCGCATGGTAGCTCTAAGGTTATGTTGTAGTAGTAATGTAGTCCTGCATAATAAAATAATAGAAAACAATGTCATTTATCCCAATGGTTCACCGGTAGACGACTTCGTCGCTAATCGGGACATTAATTGGGTCCTTCGATTGAATCAACACTGATAGAGTCCTTTTCATGGCTCTTGGTGGTGTGCGATGCGAAGCCATTTTACATGGTGCACTTAGCCTAATTTTAACCTTAAGCTTCGGGGATACTGCTTTATTTGGCGACTGTTTTTTTTTTTTTAGCAGAGCAACGAAACCAAAGTCATCTGTCTATCTGCCAATTACGGCCTTTATATACCACTTCTGTGGTGTAGGCAGGGGGTCTTATGAGCTTGATGATATAAGGCCGCATGGCTAGTGCTGTCGCAACGATTGTGCAGATAAAGATTTTATTTTGCCCCTGACAGACTTACCTAGGATTCAAGCCTGAACTGTCGTAAGAGAGCCCAGCGTTTTAACCGTTCAGCTAGCAGCTCCTCATCTGTCCATCACATGTTGCAAAAACAATGTCATTTGCCTATCACATGCGACGAAGATTGTTTGAAAAAATACCCCCCCCCCCCCCCTTTCTACCCCAAAGTTAATGATGATGAGTACGAAGATAGAGGATGAATAAGATTCGAGCCCAGAAAGTTCTCGAGCAGCGCCGACAATAAATGGAAGAGACACAAGGGTTTTCCACGTGGTTCTTTCTAACCTGCTTACGTTTCGCTGTTCCCACAACCTCTGCTGCCTGACACACCATATCTGAGATCTGTATGTCAGATCTGCTTTGTGAAACAACCTCCTATATTTATATGTTAATGTCGAGCGACTTGGGGGCAGTTTAACAGTGTCTGCATACTGGTGTAATTTCCCCTTTCCGAGATCTTTTCTTTTGCTGGACCTCGTCATAAGTAAGAAGTGTCCCCTTTCCGGGATCTTTTCTCATGCTGGATTTCGTCACAAATAAGAAGTTTCCCTTTTCTGTAATCTTTTTTTAAAGCTGGAGTTCGTCAAAAATAAGTGTCCCCTTTCTGAGATCTTTTCTAATGCTGGAGTTCGTCAAAAATAAGAAATGTCTCCTTTCATTGATCTTTTCTCATGCTAAATTTCGGCAAAAATAAGAAATGTCCCCATTCTGGGATCTTTTATCATGCTAGATTTGGTCAAAAATTAGAAGAAGCATCCCCTTTACAGGATCTTCTCTCATGCTGGAGTTCGTCAAAAACAAGAAGTGTCCTCTTTCCGGGATCTTCTCTCATGCTGGAGTTAGTCAAAAATATATAAGAAGAAGTGTCCCCTTTCCCGGATCTTTTCTCCAAAAAAAGGAACTCAACACTAGAACAGGCTCAGCAAGAGTCTACCGATCTTCTTTAAGTATTTCCCTCCCCCACCCCTTTTTGAAACTATTGTTTCGCCTGTTTACCTCCCTAGACAATCATGGTGGTGGGAGGCGACCTGGGTCATGATTTCCAGGCCTCTTGACCTCTGCAGCGCTTATCGGACTATTGGACAAGACATTGTGGTGATAACTGCAACAGGTACTCAGGTTATGGTGATACATGGTTGTCGCTGCGAGGGCATATTAAGCTCCCAACTTCACGCCATAAAATATAATATTTACATGCCGATCGTCTTGCATGCCGGCTATGTAACTAGCAATATGGATCTGACATTTCTTCAATATCATGTTGATATCTGTTAAAACATCTACGATGCATACATTCCATCCTGCCATATAATTTTTAATAGTTATCTTATATATGTTATATGACATTGTTTTCAGTTTCTTTGCATATTGCTTATATGGTGAAAACAATCTATGGAAAATTAGAAACAGACGTTTCATCTTCAAAGATGATAATTGTGGGTCAAGAACGCTAGCTATCACATACGGGGCCGAACGAACGAATGAACAAATGAACTTTTTTTTTTCAAAGGGTTAAAAATTGGGCACACAGGTCCATTTCACATTCTGCTCTGCTGACTTCGCTCTGTGCATACATTATTCCATTCATTTGTCATTTTAGTAGATAACAAAAATAATAAACACCATTAACGAAAACTTAGTTACAATATGGCCTAAGTGTACCTATATTTTAATACATTTATAATACTATACATGATCAATCTTGTTGAAAATTAACAACATGCTTAACAGCCGTGGTAACGAGTGGGTTAGACGCCTATCTGGAGGGCTTTGAGACTGCAATGGTTAACTTTTTTTTTTTTTTTTGACACCTAGTGTTTTTGTTTCTAGGCACTCTTTCCTCGAGCGCGAAAGGTTTCGGGTTCAATCCCCGCTAAGGGCTGAGGTTTTTTCACTTGGACCTAGTAATCCCCCCTGGTCTATGTATAGTGAGATCGGACGCCCGTGTGCACTGTTGCGCACGTTAAAAAAATCCCTTGGCAGTTGGAAATCGAAAAGAGTAGCCTAACGGCGATGCCAGGCAAAATTAGGTGTTAAAAGTCTACCCGAAGTATCTGAGAATCCTCGCCAGTGCTACATAGCCGGTGCACTGTGCTGAGCTTCTTCGGACTCAGGCTTGAGTTAGAAGAAGAGAGGAGCACTTATGGGTTACTACCCGTGTGCCGTGATGTTGTTCAAAACCTCAAACCTCATATTCTGTCGTGAGCATTATTTTAGGTATCATGGATAGAATCGAGTCCCAGCTTCTTTCGCTTTTCTCATCAGCGTTCGTTTAAGGTTTGACTTCGACATCATGACCTTAATCCGCAATCTTCCTACTTCAGACAATTTTGGTGATAACGTGTTCACGTCTTTTCATGATGGGCTTTACAGGGTCACCTTCTTTGTATTTTATGTGTGTGTGAGTGTTTACTATATTCTTGTGTGCGACAGAAGAGTACAGATAATAAGGTTTAATAACAAGGCAATTTGGCAATAACTGGTAAATTTCATTGCAAAAGAGCAAGAAATTCCTGGATGGTGTAGCCGCCTACTGAGCGGGACAAAAACCCTGACTCAGCCCCTGCGTCTGACGATCGTGTGAGATGATGAAGTGTGACTGTCTGCGCTTACTCATTTAGCCTGTGGTTATGATAAGGAACTGCAGTAGAAATCGTTATCTCACCCATGTAAGTCAGACATGAAGCTATCGTCCAGGGTTTGGTATTTTCTGCTTCCTCTACTGTGGAAAACAACCGGATGCTTGCTTCAGGCGAGGTGTTGTTCTGTATGTATAGGTTGGAACCCGTACCCTCTGAGGCGAACTGCTCAGCAGAGCGGCCGGTGGTGCATATGTTTGCTGTAAAACAGAAGGCACACTGGGCTGTAACCTAGATAATACATTTTACGGTTGTTGGTTGAAGCTTACAAAAGGGCAGTGACATTTGGAGAAAGAAGCGATAACAAAAAGCAATACGTCCTGATTTTGTTTTAAACTGCATGTATATACTGCCTGCATATTTCACTTTTCAGAGCGATGTAGAATAGTGGAGAGGGGGCGGTGGGGCATCTGCGGATTTCAGGCCGCATGATAGTGCAGTGGCCACGAACTGTGAAGGTTAGTTACGATTTAAAGGTTAACCACTGACAGAAAAATTGTCTTCCACTTAATTCAAGATAACTAACTTGGACAGCCGCCAAAGAGCTCGACCACCTACTCATCACAGAGTGATATTATCAAAACTGAGATGTAAAAACACATGTTCTCTATTTTATAATCTATCATTTTAATAGACTGCAACAAGAAAAGATCGACATAAGGAAAGGGATATAAGGGAGAGTCGGAACAGAACCAATATTTTACACGAAGTGAGCAAGGTAGGTAGGTAGTTGTACCCCACCAGGACATCACACAAACGATAAACACCTGGTGACACAAAGTGCCACCATGCGGATGAGGATTACCCGTGGAGAAGTCCCATAAATCCCTTTCAGCCGTTAGGTCATATCTATGGCTAGGCCATATCTATGCCCCGGCTATACCCTGAATTAATCCGAAAGACCGGCCTGCGACCTGACATAGTTCTCCACTCTGCGGAAAAACGGCATTCAACCTGATTGAGCTGACCGTCCCGTATCAGTCGCGAATGGACGAAAGTCATATGTACAAGCTCGAGAAGTACTGTGACTTAGCAGCCGGTCTGAGGAGGGGCGAAGCGTACACAGTAAGAGTCTTCGCCGTCGAAGTAGGCTCAAGAGGTCTCGTTTCCACTTCACTCTACAATGTGATTATAGAACTAGGCTTACGTGGTAATGAACGCAAACGGACACTTAAACAGCTGGGCGAGGTTGCTGAGAGGGCCTCGAGCTGGCTCTGGACACAGCGAAACAACGTCGGGGACGGGCCTAGGTGAGCTGGTCGGGGTGTCTAGCGGAAAAGAATTTCTCATCCTTTTAAGTCCATCGTGTCCGAATTGTCTGCCAGTGTCCCTCTGCCACCTGTTAACAAAGTCCAACATATGTCCGGTAAACCAATCGTAAGCTTGCCGCTCAGTCGTCCAGGTATGCAGACTGCTTTAATTATGCTACCGCGACTTCTTATCTCACAGTACCTCCTGCAAAATCACCAATTCGTCTTGTCCGTGTCCGAATAATATCCGGTAATTCGTGCAGCAGGGGAAACCAACCCTGAGCTTCATGAACTCAGGTGGGCCCACTTTCTGAAAATGTCTAGGAGTTCGTGTTCCGAAACATTTGTCAACGAGAGGTTACTTTTACTGACGATTGGTAGACCCCTGCTGTACATGAACCCCTGTGGAGTTTCTTCTTATTAGGCTCGCGGCAGAAGCCAGGATTGGGCTTCAAAAAACTAAAAATTGCATTCTACTTAGGGCCGAAATTATTTAACTGAAGCGAACAAAAAGGTCCGTTTAAGATACCTCTTCCTGCTCTGACGCGACGAGACATTCCAGGAGTAAATGAGAAGAACCAACAAGGGCAGGTAAACCCAGTCTAAAATGGGTGTCAGGTACTGCCCTGACAAATAAATGCAGCTGGAGGGATGTTCAAGACATCACTTGTCTATCGTCATTTGGTCTACAAACATTTGTGTCTTGCATCGTAGGCTCAGTACGGGTATTTTTCGTTTACTCTTTTAACAAAGGGAGATGAGTTATGTAAATAGTAGAAACTGTCCGTAGTAAAACCTTATTAAAGTGAATTAAAAAAAGACTGAAAATATTAGGACTTTGTGGTGGCAAAATTGCGTGCTGATGGGGGACTAATACAGATAATAATACAATTCATGTTAACTGGGTTATCAGAGATTTGCCTACTGCCGTCAAGGCAAACGGCTCGTGGGCAGATCCGTGATAGAAACATCTATCCTTAAACATACATAACCAACACCTTCAGAGCAGACACATCAGTCTTTAGTATAATTTAACAACAAGCAGTTGACAGTTAGCCTCCGAGATGGCTTCGAAACTCCTACCCGAACCAGCAAGAGGGCTTTTTAATTGCAACTCACATACTGTTGAATCCGATCCAGTTGTTTCAAGCATTACCTGGGTCCGAACCAACAGCCTTCGAGTCAAGCTTTTTCCGACGCTTCTGCACTTTACACTGGGACTGTGGCTCTGGTTATTGTAATAAGACAGACCATGTCACCTAACACGACAAACCCTTCACGAACCACATCGCTAACGCATCTAATTCCAGTATAATTAAACACAGTAGCCTATATTTCGCTAACACGTGAATTTTCCTACCGTCAAGCTAAACACTATCACCTAATGCCTTTCACTAACTCAGGTCACAGACGGAAACATCTACCGGTCAAAATTAATACCAGTCCTGTCAAAGTCTCACCGATAAACTTCCTGAAAACTCGTCTGTCTGTCCCTTTTGTCTGGTCTAAAACTCACTGTACGGTCCGTGAGAACCTCGTGAACCCTGGAGTTATTAGTTCCTCTGTCTCATTAGTCTGGTCTAAGTCATTACGCCGTCAACTAGGTACAAGTCCACTTCTCCTGCTTCTTTCGTTCGCCTGAAATAATTTGTCTATATCAGCAATTTGGTCTCTTGTCTCTGGGAATTAGGCTGGCTGGACTTTATGTTTTGAGTGAGGTCCGTCCATCATCATCATCATGGAGCAGGTCCTTTGCAGAACGTCGCTCTCATCACAATCTGCCTGAAAGAAACTCGGTCTCTCGCCAGCTCTACCGCCTCATGTACTTTCATACACAAAGAGTCACTTATATCCTGTGCCCATCTTCGTGTCGGTCGGCCCTGCCCCTCCTTTCTGCTACCATGCCTTCTGCTATAATTCTTTTCCAATCCATCGTAGCGCTGAATATGACCAAAATGTTTCAGCTTCCGAGACAGGATGCTGTTTATTAGCCAATCTTCCTTGATGTTCAGATCTTTCAAGATGTCAGTATTTCTCCACTTCTTTGTCCAAGATATTCTGAGAATCTTTCTATGGCATTTCAGCTCAAAAACCCCAATTGAGGTCCGTCCTGTTGGCAGAATTTGAATCAAGAATACCTCCCTTGTCTCCTTGTCTAAAGCAGTATGCTTTCTTATAGCTACCTAGCCATTCAATGATATCATATGTTTGCAATTAGACAGTATATATAAACATCTGTTACAAACACTGCGGAACATTGACAATACATAAAAGAAAAACACACACCTACCTGGGTCGGTAAAGTAAACAGTTAGAAATGAACGATCTTCGTCGTCAATAAATGGTGGTTTCAATTTAAGTGGCGGGTATGTAGGTGTCTTTGCTACCTGCATTTGTTGAAGAATGAACATTGTTCTTAGATGTGCTAAATTATGGCTGAAGAATCTACTGTAGCTTTTAAAACCTGGAAAACCCAGACCATGTTCCAGGTGGAGAAATAAATTTGAAATTTGGTGACAAGGTTCAATATTAGGCCAATAGTTCATTCCAATCATACTTTTTTATTATATTTGACCTTGACTTACTTTACTCAAATGTTCCACCCGTGACCCGTTTGGGCGTTATGGTAAAAGACCTATTTTACTCAAATGTCCCACCCATGACCTATTGGGTCATCGTGGTAAAAGAAAATAACTATAAGAAAATACAATACAATGCTCAATTATGTTCAGATTATTTCTAATTTTTTAATAATTTGATTAGAATATTCATAAAATCATCATCATCATCATCATCAAGTGCCTTGCCGACTGCTGTGGGCTATCAGGCCTCTACCCACTCCACAACTGCAAGTAACAGTTCGTGTATTGAAACCCTTACATGGCAAGACAAAAGTCAAGAATCCTTTTTCGCTGTTCTCTACTTCCACAGATGTTTCCAGTGGTCACAACCTCTTCCTTCTTCTCATAACATGACCTAACACATTTAACATATATATATATATAAGCTCAGTATACTCAATACTTGTCTGGAAGCATCATTGTTTTTCCACACGTTATTTTACCATATACTCATTTTTAAATGTGAAATGCCCTAAAACAGTTTCTTTGTAATGTGAAGCACAAATGGACCACACATTTTTCACAAACAGTGTTTGTTTTCTGCTGGCATTGTTTGCATCTTTGTCTTTAATAGGAAAGTGGGAAAACCCGGCTACATAAGGCACATTTTGTAATTGTCTTTTCTTTTTCAGGATAGAGGCTCTGTTTCAATGCTTACCTTATACATTTCTAGAAAACACAGGCTAGGGTGCGGTCATTCTACTTGTTATGAACGTAATAGTGTCCACCTGCTTCAATTACTTATTCCAGGTGACCTGTGGCGCTGATGGTCATGTTTGGCCACAAAGTTTTGTCTCTTATATTTTCAGTAATTTGTATCGTTCATGTTCTATTAAGCCAAAATGCCAACATGTTCAGCATGTTGTCTCTTGGTCTCTATTCGCACCTCTCTTACGACAGTATCACAGGGACACTAGTTTTTCTGTACTGCTGAAGTGATCAAATGACATTGTTTGTCACCTGTTGTTACCTCAACTGGTTCTCATCGTGAGTCGTCACTGATTTGTAATATTCGGTTCTTTTATATATATATGTATAAACCCGATGTCCAGAAAAATAAAAATAATAGTATTCAGACTTACTTACTTACTCAGACTGACTGACTTTCTACCCCACCAGGACATCACACAAGCGATAAACACCCGATGCCACAATGTGCCACCATGTGTGTGAGGATTACCGTGGAGAGGTCCCATAAACCGCGTTCAGCCCTTAGGCCATATTTATGACCAGGCTATATTGCGGCCCCTGGCAAGAGCCAGAGTAGGGCTTCAAATAACGAAAAATGCATGCTAAAAAGGACGAGAAGTAGACATGACTTACTCAGAC